GTTGTGGTTCCACGCGGGTCTATTCCAAGCACTGTTAAAAAATTATATAATATTCTTTGTGTGGTTCATCAATGGTGATAAATGATAGGAATGTCCCGTGAGGTGCGGACAACTGGCACAACACCGGCGTAGCAGGTGCGCTGTCTCTCTTCCACTTCTGCCACACACATATGCACAGTGAGCCCCACTTCCTTAAGTGTTAGGGTTACAATTTTGGATTTATGTATGTTCTTTAAAAATAATTATTAAAAGTTTCTTTCTTTTCATATTTTTATTTACAGCATTATTTGCTGAAATTGTAACAGGCAGTGTATTAACTTATTGGGAGAAAAACGGTAGTTCTATGTAAAATCAGACATTGAGCACCCCCATATGGCCAAAATGCTATGAGCCTCATTACATAACGCAAAGATTCCACTGTGAGATTAGCAGTTGAATCAGGCTCCGCTGATCAAAGCATCGAATCTTTACTATTCCAGGTCAGCCCTAGTTCGTTTGGTTAAATTTTTTAATGTAATGTAATCAAATTATTTGAGGTGCAAGTGCTAAAATAAATGTTATAAAACACCAAAAATGACCATATTTATTTTGCAAACTTTATTTTCCAAGTTTTTTTAGGAATATGGAAGGGCTATATTTACACCTTTAAAATGTTATGGGGCTTTTGTATAACAAATGATCCTCTCAGAGATTTAAAGTCTAACACTACATAAGGTGTTAATAAAAACTAAGAGTGGTCGGTTTAAGAAGTGTTAAATTTTAACTCCAAAAAGAATCTATCAATCAAAATATGTGAAAATAGGGAACAGTTATAAAAATACATAATTATCCTTTAACAGCAATTTCATTTTCAATTGTTGGTGTTTTTGCCAATTCAAAAATATAAAGTCCATTTCACATTTTATTTCATTTTCATTACAGTCGTGTTAGCCTTTGGAGTACAAGAGTTTTTGTTTCTATTCTGGCAGTATGCATTTTAAAATATTTTTTTTCTTTGTCACAGATCAAATGCAAACAAATAGAATATTAAATTTCAGTTTGATGAAAATTTTGTTTCAATATTGGCAGCCCTGATCTTCCATAGTTTTCTACCATTTTGTTTATCTCTCACATTTGTCACTTTTGACACCACCGTTTCAAAGGTTGGCCATTGTCTGGTAGCCATTTTGGATCTCCAACTGGGAAGCCAGTGGCTCTGTTCTAATGTGAGCCATCAAGGTTTTCATTTAAATGGCTTTGATGACTCTTCAGACAATAATAATATTATTTATAGAGCACTTTCTAAACAATGTTACAAAGTGCTATTCCAAGAGCAAAGAAAACAAAACACAGCAAACAAAATAAGATAAATGGTAAAAGCAGGAAGAAAGTTATGAAATTAAAATTCAGTTAAAAGAAAAATAGATAATTAATTAAAATCAACAAAAATCTGGAAAGTCTCTCCTATAAAAGTATGTTTTAAGAAGGGACTTAAAAGTGTTGACTGACTCAGCCGCCCTGATTTCCTCAGGCAGGCTGTTCCAGAGCTTCGGGGCCCTGACTGCAAATGCTCTGTCCCCTTTAGTTTTCAGTCAAGACTCTGGAACAGAGAAAAGACCTCTGTCCAAGGATCTCAATGTACGTCCTGGCGAGTATGGGATTAAAAGGTCAGAGATATGATATAGAACACTAATCTTTCCAATTCCCCCAGTTCACATTAATTTCATGATGTTCCTGCTTTACTGCTCCTCCCAAACACACAGACAGTAAGCTTGCTACTAGAACACTAAAGAAATGATTCAGTAAGTGGTAAAAGAAAAAGATGTTCAGCATCTGCATGGCCCTTTCCTCTTGATAAGAAGGGTATTTCACATTGAATATGGCTCACTGTCATCATCATTTAAGGACAGAGGTAATCAGATCCTGTACAAAATTACACCACCCCTCCACACACACACACACACACACACACACACACACACACACACACACACACACAGGCACATAATCTTTACAAAAGAAGAAAATAAATAGACTGGCAGTAGTAGTAGTGTTAGTATAGTATAGTCACCATAAATGTTGGCATTATAGTAGTAGTTGTATAAATGGCATTATCACAGATAAACATGAAAACCGTCTTGGCTCCAAAGATGTTTTCTTTTTCACTGTTGAAACCTGGGTCTGGTCCAGCTGTGGAACATGAAATACTTATGTTTTTTGAATGTCTTCTTATGGCACTTCAGAAGAGTGTAGTGAAAAGTGTAGTAGTGACATCTGTGACTAAATTCAGTCATGCTGTTGGTGTGTTTAGTGTTGGAGATATCTTTGTACAGAAAGTGATGAATCCAAACTTAACATTCATGCATTCAATGGGTACTGTAGCAATTTAGTATTGCACTTGCATAAAGGTGGGAAACTCACAGGAGACTGACCAAAAGAATGGTCAGAATCAAAGCAGCTGACTTTAAGTCTTTAGTGAGGGGCAATTTCCCATAACGCAACTTATGCAACCCTTCCTGCCTGCTAAACACCCACATCTTTCAAACTCTGCATCTCCAGTTTTTAACACAGGCTTTCTGTTATAAACATATAGTCTCCAAGCCCAAGCTGAGCTAACCAAATGACATCACTGTGACATCATCAGAGTTACGTTTTGAGAATTGACAAAGTTGCTCCACAGACACAGATGACATTATACAACTGTTTTCACAGCCTGAGTGGGACCCAAAACATTTCATGCGTGTGGCGATAAGATCAGATGCAGAATCCAGAAAAGGATTTATAATTTTGCTTGATTTATAATAACAAAGCCAATGCTCTGTCATTAAGACTTGTAAAGCTAGTTAAGCTGTCCATGGCAATATAAACTTGTCTGGCTTGATTATCTAACCATCAAAACCATTTTTTGTATTGGTTACTGTTATATAAGAGAGCTAATGAATACTTAATACTTGTGAAAGATTCCCAATAAAATAGACTGTGTGTCATCATGATCATGTGTTTATCTGTAGAGACATATATTATAGATCTGCACAGTTGAGGAAATTAATTAATAAATACCATACTTTATAGTATTTAAAATTGATATATAAAGCAGTGGTATCTTTGGTTGCAGTGTTCAAGAACATGTATTTCCTTTCTGTGATTTCCTTTCAGAGGGGAGGTGAATGTCCAAAATGTTGCTCAAAACGCAGTGAAATTCATTGGTGGGATCAAAGAGCATTTTGCTGCTAAATGTACTGTATTAGTAATATATGAAATATAAGTGTCATTTTTAAGGTTATTTCAAAAGTCGCATTTTCATATTTGCTGATCTGGTCGGCTTAACGCTCTCCAAAACTCAAAAAACAAAGTTATATTATATATAGTTTGACTATAAACAAAACAAGAATATTTCACATTGTATTTTTGTCATCCAGCCATATTGTTATTTCTGTTCATGTCATTCTAATGCACAAGACAATTAAACAGTACATGGAAAGTTTTGGTGGTGTTAATTATTCTTCCTACTTAGCCAGAGTCACACAAACACTTTTACACAAAGAAAACAGAATTTTCAACCGCTAATTCATTCCAATAACAAACCTCTCATCTTGGAGAAGGTCAATATACCATCTCTGGATGGATCAGTTCCCATTCTTTTAAATAGCATGCAAAGGAAAAACTCTGGATAAGCAGGAAAAATAGGACATATAAAGAGAGCATGGTCACACTAACATTTATGACATTTGATATTTTCAATTTAATTGGATTGAGCAGAAGGGCATTATCAGTTGAATCTGTTGAATTATTATTATTATGAGCAGTGGATGTAGTCATGGCCACAAAATATACTTGTTCACGGTTTTCTTAGTTGAATTCTGATATATGATATAGCTCTGTAAACCAGCAGCAAAGATGATTTTTTTCTTTAGCTCAGCCTGTCCTATGCAGTTCATGGCTGGCATTTTAGTTTGGTTAGATAGCTAGCTTGCTATCTTAAGCAATTTTAGTGTCATAGTAATCTGCAACTGTCTGTAATCACAATGACATGTGAAGGAATGTTACCTTGCCAATGTTTGCTGTGACCAGGTCCTCCGTCAGTAGAGGTCAGCTACCTCTCAATAACATTTGGAAGTAAAATCTATCCTCAAAACTGCCTCCTGAAACTTAAACCATTACAGCAATGTAGAAAAAGTGATATAATATACAGCACATAATAATGTCAGGCCACCTCAGACATAATCATATCATCAATAATGAATACGATTTCAAAATTCGTCAAAGATGCAGTGTAGATTAAAATTTTTCTCATCTCTGTACAGCTCATTGGTTGACAAAAAGCTATGTATGAAGGCTAACTGTCATTAATATGTGTTGTCTAACCCATGGACACACACCGGCAGTGTGTGCACTGCGTTATGGCTGCAACGCGGTTTTATTCCGTCCTTTGCTCGGCGTCAGCTCTCAATGGAAGTGTTTCAGCATCGGAGCATTTAGCCTGCCCCACTTGTTGGCTTGTTGTTTATTTGTCCTTTGTTGTCCTCTTGTTTATTGTGCTTAATACTAAAGATAACAGCTCACGGTAAACCAGTTTTTTTCTGTTCGCTGCAGGGTTTTATGTCCTACATGGAGCATTGCAGAATAAATGTTTTCCCTGCCTGATTTTGCCGACATGTTCAGATATTGGTGATTTGGTCAGTTGTCATTGATTTTTGAGCTTCTACCATGGTTAACTGGGAGATTAGCTCCGGCAGCCGTAACGCAGCGCACACGCCAACTGTGTGAGTCCAGGGTAATTGGGACAATCTGTAGTCCTTCTGAAAGTAGTATTTGTCATTTTGTTCAGTTAGTACTACAATGAATATTAGTCTTATTCCATCTTATTAATTATGGGGTCTTGTGTTACACATAAATCTCTGAGCACTTCCATAAAAGTCACTATTTCCAATGAGTATTGCTTAAGTGTAAATGTACCCTGTAAAAGACAAAACACCTTGAAATCCAAGAAGGCGAAAAGATGTGAAGATAATCTAAAGATAATCTAAAGAGGGAGAAAAACGTGTAACCTGTGCACAGGTGATCATACAAACACCCAAATCAATTCACTGCCCAACATTATCAGGCAATTTTCCCCCCTCAACATAGTGACAGTATCACCACTTTATAATTCACTTGATGGCTTTATGTTACACAAGCAGAATTCAAATAAAATTAACAACCTAACTTTTATTTTTGTAGTTTTTGGCCATCAAAAGCTAAAATACAGACAGGGCAACCACACGAGCCATCAGACCGTTTTGAAACGTATCCCCATTTTTATTCTGATAATGCCCTGATCAGACAGAGCGCACTGCCCGTTTTATTAAAGACTGGATTTTAAAAAAGATCAGCTTGCTGTGTTTTTTAAATGTTGCTAGACAACCACCAAATGACCTGTCCTTAGCCTAACTGTGATTCACAAATCTAATCCCATTAGACAATAGGGAAAAATAAAAACTTGAGGTGTTGAGGAGTGCTCCTGCAAAATCCTGTGGCGCGCCAAAAAAGACGCTGAAAAAGACGCTGAAAAAGACACCTCTTACTGCAAAAGCTGAGCTCTGTCTAATCGGGGCCTTAGTGTTTTAGAAAACTTGGTTAAAAACATTCCAATGGCTTGTGTTTGCGGTGCTCAGTGCAGTCACTGTGACCCAAGAATACAGCTGTGAAACTGGTGAGTAAAAAATGATCACAACAAAAAAGAATGATTTCCAAAACTATGAAAATACATCAAGATTTATAAAATAACAGAATTTTCCTTTAAAATATTGTCCTCATTTTAAGAGGGTTCACTACAGAGGAAGAAAATACCAATTAATCATTACTTGAAGTTCCCAAATTCAATGAAGAACTGATGTAGCATGTAAACGGAGAGGAAGATGAAAGATAAAACAGTGATCATGGCGTTCTCTTCTCCAGAGGGAAAAGAGACACTGTTTTTATATTACAACAGCCTGCACTGTTCATACAGACCTGAAAGAATTACCTGTGAGTGTAAACCAGTGTGTATGTGAAGTCATTTCATATGACACAAGTTAATGATTGTGTGTTTATTTGTGTGTGTGTGTGTGTGTTTGTGTAAGATTGTCCATCACCTTTGTACAAATACTGTACCTTTGTGTAATAACACAGACCCACAGACAAAACCTTCAGCATCTATCAAAAGTAAAACCAAGTCCTGTATGATCTGACCAAACCCACAAGGTTGAAAACACACTGCCACCGCTCAGCAGCATGTCCCTCCGAACATGTAAAGGTGGATTGTTGGGTGTACAAAATGTCTGACTCCGACCTATCACCTACCAATAGATGGTTTCTTTTAACCCTAAAGAGTTGAGTATGCTTCAAATGAACTAGCTTATCTGACCATGTCCAAAGTGGATGTGCTTCTAAGTTGTTCCAGACTGGAAGGTGGGGTGAAAGGCCTGCCATCTTAGCCCCCTCCTTAGTACATCCCACTGCATCCCTTATCTTTGGCGCTGTTAGATGATCCAACAAGCACCTTGCTTTAATCATACTGATGCCTTAACTTTAACCAATGACCACATTTTTTCTCTAACATTAACCAAGTAGGTGACAAAACAGCCTCAGTTCAACCTCCATTCAGTAGTTGTTTCAGTGCTTCCGATCATATGATGTGATCTTCCTTAGCAGATGGACTAAAAGGGTCAGTTTAGGATGGCTGAACCTCCAGTTTAATTTAGGGGGTGATTTATTCTGTACACATGTTATTGAGAACCACTGTAACATAGTTGCAGGTAATAAACAGATGATGATAATTGGCCTTAATTAATGGAAGTTGGACACATATTCAAAGGCAGTGTTCCAACTGTACAGGTATGCTGCATGTGTCTAAATCATGGGTCTACACTGTAAAATATATATTAGAGGTTTGGACAGCTCTTACAGGTCATAGTTAACTGATGCTACCCACTGAGGGGTACAATATCTATGATGTGAGGGTTTTGGAAATTGAAATACACACAGCTTGGTAGGGGTGTAATGCAAATCTACTGTCTGTATCTGGGGAGGGCTCGACTAATGAATGTTAATTTGTAATGTGCTTGTGGTTTGTGCTTTTTCTTATCAATAGATATTTTTATTTTAATAAATACTCAATTATTACAGATATTTGTTCTTTAATACACAACAACTGAGCATCGGAGCAGCCAACGGAAACATGTCTAGCTGTTCTAGACTGCGCTACCCTCCGTTTCTACCACCCTTCTCTGTTTTCATTACAGTTAGTTTTTATCTGTATCATTATCTGGTTATGTCACAACACTATTTGTATTTCTATCTTTATTCGGAACATTCCAGAAGTAAGCTTGGTACTGTATACCGTAAGTTTCTAGGAATTGTCTAGTCTGGTTCATTTTCAGCCTTAATTTCATTATAATTATTCTGGTGTAACTGAGCACATTTCTCACCAGCCTAAATTAATCAAATGATAAAATGTGATTTGTATTTGGAAAAGAAGAAAAGTAAGTCAATATTGAGTCACAAGTATTGACTTACTTAAGTCAGAATTGCATTGGTTTTCTGTAAAAGTGGAAGGTTGTGTATATAATGACATTTTTTTGCATTTGATTTTATTGCATATTTAAAAAGGAAATTGTGCATGCAATGGAAGGAAGCCTTGATAAAAACAATAATTATTATTATTGATAATAATATTTGATAATAATAATTATTAGTATTATTATTTGATTATTTGGGGAAAAAGGCTTTCTAAATACAGCTCTTCGGTATCCTCAGGATCTTCAGGATCTGATTATCTGTGTGTTTATAAGTTATGACTCAGAAGAATATTACTGCAACAATTTAGATTGTTGAAGTTACTCCGAGTGCATGATCTGTGCATATCCAAATAATGCCTTCATATTTGGTTACACCCCTATACTTTGGTGTGGACAACCATACAGTTTTGTGTTAGTGTTATGTATGGTGTGTGTTTGTACTGCATTTCTACCCTGTGTGTGTCCCTGGTAGTGTCCTCATAGTCTTGTTTGAGCCTCAGGGATGTAGATCTCAATGCTGTCAGCGCTCTCCGTAGCGGAGTTCTGCCGTACGGATGCGGCTCTTTTGGCAGCCATCAGGCGCTTCCTGGCCTCCTGCCGCTGTTTCTCTGAGCTCTCCAGTGAGCGGTCTCTGGCCAGAGGGGGATGGTGGTGGGGGCCCTTGGGTGGCTTTTTTGGCACTGGAGGTGGGAGCCGCCTCTCCTGGTGGGAGAGGACGGTAGTGGGGAGGGGAGAACATTTCAGGAAAAAGACATGTATTTGTGTGTGTGTTAAATGTGTGTGTATGTGCCTGTGATGCCCATTTTAACTGCCACCTTCAGTGCAGGTGGCTTTTGGTTTAACATATGCCTGTACACCTGTATGACGTAAAGAAGAGGTAAGATTAATTAGACATTCTGTATAATACTTTTGTGATCGTCCTCCACATTTTGCATCACAACATGATGCATCACACACTGTTTCAGTAACATTGCAGCTACTTAACATGTTGTTACTTTGGAACCTTAACTTGTTCCCTACATGTGCTGATCCACACATTTGTTGATTAACAGAAGTGTTTCCACGTCTTCTATTATATAAATCTTTTTTTGCTATACAACACTCAACACTATCTGCGTGGGGACAGCTAAAATTGTTCCTACAGTACACTTCTGTCAAATATGTGTTTGTGTATGTCATATGCATGCAAGGTAGGTATTTTAGTATTATAATACATACATTTACATCTGCATTTCATTGTACAATCCTGTGTTGCAAAATGACAATAAAACTGAACCTTGAACCTTGATTTAATTTATTGTGTGCAAGTCTATCTTGGGCCAGGGACTGTTCCTACACAACGCTCCATCTTTCTACTGAGACCACAAATGTCCTTAAAAGATAATGGCTTATTGGGTCTTACTTGCATAGTTTTGGCCATCATTTCTATCAGTTATGACAACATTGTAAGCAAACATTTGTCAGTAAAGTAATTGCTGAGATCTGGGAATGCATTGCTGCAGTCTGACAGGTCAGACGATCAGGCAGGTTTGTTAAACTTATTTAGAAGCAAAAACAAATGTGAACTATAAAATTATTACTGAACCTGTCTGTTGAAAACCACAATTTACAGACCCACTTCCTGTTACAAACTTAACCACTGTACTTACTGAACTTATTGTTTCAGCTGTGCTCACTATCAGCTTGACGTCCATATAATGTGGTTTTGATATTCTGAATAAACAGTTGTGTCCCATGTTTTTTGACCTTTCAGACTTATTATTTAGTTGTAATAAACCAGATATATCCTTTAACCAGGTGAGCATGCTCAGTTTTACAGGACCTAAAAACTATTTGAAGATTTAAATAATGACAAGTCTGATGAAATAATTAATGGTCCGGAAACAATTCAAAGTCTCAGAGTACTATACAGCGTTGTTTTCAGTTAACTGAGCTTTGACGAGCAAGTTCTCTCTCAGTTCCTGTAGTTTCTGTTTGCCAGTTTAAACTGGTAGAGTGTCTGCAGATTGCAGCTAGTTCAAAACGCAGCAGGCAGGTTCCTCATGAGAGCCCAGGTGCTCTGATTTTTGCTTCTGTACCATAGCTCCATGTTGAATTCTGTATTCACTTATTTATTTTATATACTTATTTATTCCCAATTTTTTAAATCACAATCAACTTAGCTGAGCTTTTGTCCACATGAGTCTGAGCTTATATTAAAATGGACTCTCAGGATCTATGTGTCCATCTTCAAACCAGCCTGAAGACTAATGCTGCATTTTCATAGTCCAGTACGGCATATATTAGCTCTGCTGTACTGGACTACATCCTCACAAGTGGTAACCATCCTGACCTTCACAATATGGAAAGACAAAGTCTAAGTTAGACCTATCTTGAAATAAATCCTTTGTAATATTGCATTTGTTTCTTGTTAGCATACCCGTAGTTTTACTGGAATTTGGTTTTATTTGTTTCCTTATTCCCTGTTCTTTTTGTGTTTGAGTTGGAATTTATACATATCTTTCTAAATGGATGTCCTCTGAAACTGCTTTGTAAACAGTGTGCTCCATACTGTAAAATGTATTTGTGGTGAAAGAATATTAGCCACACTCTCTCCTGTCCATCTGTCTTGACACTGCAGTTAGAATACAACAAAAAGCCACAGATAGTAAGGCGGCTGTAAGTATCAGAAGGAAGGAAAGAAGGAAGGAAGGGCAGAAGGAAGCATGGGCAGATGGAAGGAAAGACAGACACAATGGATCTACTAAGGCCCAGTGGTATCAAGGCCCTGTGGTGTTGTTGGCATTGCAGTTATGCTGATTGATGTGTGGCTGTTTGCAAGCGCCTTCACTGTCAACACAAAAAGCACAAGAAAGAAAAAGACAACAATGAGAGCAAATGAGGAAGCCAGCAGAGTAAATGTTCATAATGATGCAAGCCACAACAGATACTGCTGCAAGAGACCAGGCAGAAGACTAATGAAAAAGATTAACAGACACCCAACATATTCAAAAGGAAGGGTATCTGTATCACCATAGAGACAAAGTCAGACAACCGTGCACTTACTCTAGACCATGAGAAAAAAAAGCTGAGTGATAATGCAATGCTCAACATAAGACTTTCTTTGCTTTTGTCATGATAATATATGTACAGTTGATCAGTTCACCTAGATAAAAGCTATTTTAGTTCTTTGCAAATGACCATGAAATGAAATTCACTTTCACATTCTCACTTCTCAAAGTGAAACCACTTAAACATTTTTAAATCGCTGTCATCATTTAACATTATTACAGAGCAAATTCTGCTGCCTGTTTTATCTAACATCCAAAATCCATAAGTTTTAGCTAAAAGTCGGATCAGGCTCAGTGGGTGTCAGTTGAGCTTGCTGAATTACCATTGGGTGTTCACCATACCTAAACTGAATCGTACCTGAGAAGGATTTGGGAGAAAGACAAGACTGTTCAGTTTTAGAGTAACTTTGATTTGGTAAAATCTCTGATATAACAGTGTAACAGTGGGGGAATCAAATATTAATTTGGGTACCACAGACAGTCTTTTGTTATGAAATGAGACATTCATATGAGTCACATTCATAATGGCCATGGAGTGAAAGAACTAGCACAACATTAAACCCTCCATTCAGATAATGGTGTTATCTCCGGTCTACAGTCTGGTGGCGTACTAGAGTGTACGTACCTTCCTCTCAGGGGGATCCAGGGGTCTCCAGTTGTTGGCTCTGAGCTGGTGAAGCTCATCAAACTTGAGGCTTATGTTCTCGATTGACAGCTGAAGCATATCCCAAAAACCTGCCAGGTCTGAGGCCACAGGACGAGGATGGGCATTGGGGTTCTATAACAGGAGAAAAGAAAAGAAAAGAAATAGCTTCAAAGATGAAAGCCATGGAAGAGGAAAATTAAGGTCATTTTCAAGTTTGTTTGTAGAGCATCTCAAAATGTGTTGCAAAAAATATTAAATAATTTTTTTTTTTAAATATGAATATATATTTAATTACTGGTATGTCATGGTGAGATAGATTGAATAAAACAACTAATGTCTAACAACATTTTACAGCTCAACGAGTAAAGACTTGCAAAGAAGGTTAAAGTCAAGGGCAACTGGACTTGGTTAAAGATACTAGACGACGTTTCGTCCCTCATCCAAGGGACTTCTTCAGTTCTGACTGACTGGTAGGGAAATTCCAATTATTTAACCTCAGTGGGGTCGTTGGCCAGGATTGTTGATACTGCTGGTTCATTAGTGTTCCTGGTTGCTGTAACGACAGTCGTTACAGTCGTTAGGACTACCGGTGGCCAAGACTGACCGACCATCGTTATTATCTTCACCTGAGGTCAATAGGTCACGTTTGTTGAGTTTCCTGGGAAGTGATCAAAGGACAGCATTGTAAGTGGGGGATAAGTGGTGGCGTAGACCCCCTCCTCTGTTTAATGACTGCTTCTCAACCCTGGTGTAGATGGTTTCCTTGACATCTCTTCCAAACCATCCATCTTCTCTGTCTAAAATGTGCACCTGGTGGTCCTCAAACGAGTGTCCTCTGTCCTTCAGATGTAAGTAGACTGCAGAGTCTTGACCTGAGGAGTTGGCCCTTCTGTGTTGAGCCATGCGTTTGTGTAGTGGTTGTTTAGTCTCCCCAATACATTCCTCACTGCATTGGACCGCATACACTAGATTGCTTTTCTTGTATTTGGGGGTGCGGTCTTTGGGGTGGACCAGTATCTGTCTTAGCGTGTTCTCGGGTTTAAAAAACACAGGGATGTTGTGTTTGTTGAAAATCCTCCTGAGTTTCTCTGATACTCCAGACACGTATGGAATCACAATGTTGTTGCGTTTGACCTTCTTTTCCTCCTCCCCTGTAGTTTTGTTCTTCTTGGATCTTGTGGCTGTTTTCACAAAGGTCCATTTAGGGTTTCCACAGGCAGTAAGTGCCCCCTTCAGGTGGTTCTGTTCCTTCTCTCTGGCTTGGGCGCTTGTTGGTATGTTTTCTGCTCTGTGGTGCAGTGTTCTCATGACCCCTAGCTTGTGCTCCAGTGGGTGGTGTAAATCGAAGAGTAGCTATTGGTTTGTGTGTGTGGGTTTTCTGTAAACACCAATCTGCAGGCTCCTGTCCTCTTCAATGTGTACAGCGCAGTCCAGGAAGGCCAAAGTGTTGTTGTGAACATCTTCTCGTGTGAACTTGATGTTACTGTCCACAGAGTTGATGTGTTCTGTGAAGGCTTGCACTTCCTGGCTTTTTATTTTGACCCAGGTGTTTGACCCACATATCTGTACCAGTGGCTCGGTGCTGTTCTTCTGTAGGAGTTGAGGGCTTTGCTCTCCACTTCTTCCATGTAGATGTTTGCCACAATTGGGGATACCGGTGAACCCATGGCACAGCCATGCTTCTGTCTGTAGAATCCTCCGTTGTACTGGAAATAGATGTTGTGTAGACAGAGGTCGAGTAATTTACAGATCTGGTCAGGGCTGAGGCTAGTTCTGTTGTCCAGGGTGTGGTCTTGTGTTAACGGTTTCCTTACGGTTTCTACTGCTTCTATGGTGGGGATGCAGGTGAACGAAGAAGTCACATCATAGGATACCATGGTTTCATCTGGGTCCAGTTTCAGTCCTCAAACTTTGTTTACAGAATCAATGTAGTTTTGGATGTGGTCTGGCGTGTTACCCACCAAGAGAGCTAGGATGGTAGAAATGTGTTTGGCAATGTTGTAGGTGGCCGAGTTAATGCTGCTGATAATCGGCCTGAGTGGGGCTCCTTCTTTGTGTATCTTGGGTAGTACTGTAACAGTGATACTGTTCCCGGGTGATGGAGTTTTCTTTCTGAAGTTGTTGTAGACATTCTATGGCCTTCTTCTTGTACCCGCTGGTTGGGTCCCGCTTCACTGTCTCATATGCGTTTGTGTCCATTAGTAGTGTGTTGACCTTGTTCTGGTAGTCCGCTGTGTTAGGGCTGCAGATACCTTTAGTCTGAGCTGTTCCACTTCTGTTTTTCTTAATGGCCAATTCTGTGGCTGAGCTGAGGTCCACTATAGGTAGCTGCTGTGGTGTAATGGCAAAGTTTAATCCTTTGGCCAGAACATCTTTCTCTGGTTGGGTATCTGACAGGTTTTTCACCCATCTGTTGTCTGTTTCATGTGTTGTGGGGTTGTTGTCCTTTCTCCTCCAAGACAATTCTCATGTTTTGTTAGTGCTGCTCGCTCTGGACTATAGGTTTTGGAATTTCCAGGTCTTTCTTTCTTTGCTCTTATTGTTGAGATAGCTGTGCCTTCTTGATGAAATCCATGATCCATTGTTAGAAACCTTGGGGGTTGTATTTGATACCATGCACTTTGACCAACATGTGAAAATCATTGACCCATACATTTTAAGATCTTTGTTATCACATATAGATGTTGCATGGTCAAGCATCTGGTAACATCTCTGACATATTCCACCCTTATATCACATGTAGGTAACATAAGTCTGAGCAGGGCTTACTGTCCTTGTTCCTTGCTCTTGACTGAAAACAAAAGGTGATCATGTCTTTGAAGTGGTGGCTCCAACACTGGAACACTCCTATTGACTGAGATTCTCAGGTCTCGGTCTGCGCCTTTAAAAAGCAGCTGAAGGCTCTTATTCAAACTGGCCTTAGCTTCGGATCGTGCTGTCTAGTGTTTGTATCTGTTGTTGATTATAATTTATTGTTTGATTCTTTGTAATGTTATGGTTTTATTTTTAACAATTTTGCTCTTGTAAAGCACTTTGTGAACTTGCTTGGTGAAAGGCGCTACACTATTTACTACACTATACACTATATTTACCCCCTTGTATTCTGAAGAGTGTTGTTCACGTTGCTACCTGGTATGTATACATCTTTAGATAACTTTAGAGCTTTTAAAACACCTTGCGCGCCACCATATATAGAGGGTTATAGAGCAGCTGTTGTTGGGTGGCACTGAAAGCAGCTTGAAAGTAATGAAAATTTAAATTTAAAGTTGTAATACCATAATAAGAGTGGCAGACTTTGTTTAATCCTAAGAGATACATACGGTCCTGCAGCAAAAGTGAAACTAAATGGGACTCGCCCATCAATGATTATACGGGTTTGGGAAATAGGTTTAATCAATTTAAGCCAATGACTGGTGTATGTGGTCTCCAGTTAATGAAGATAGTTATTTATTGAGGTGTAAGACAGGGGTTTCCCACCACTGTGGGTAGCTATGTGTCAGGACAGTGACTTTAACATTTGGCATTGAGAACAAAACCTGAATTGAAAAAGGAAACAATACCATTGAAACATTTGTATTGGCAGTAAAACAAGTTCCATTAAAATAATTTTTCAAAGGCAATTTTCCGATTTTTCTTCTTGTTAGTGACAGTTTTTCAGTTTTTTTCAGTGTCACTGGTTTTCAGTTTGAACCTTCTGTCACTGTTTTGGCAAAGAGCGGAGGGGTCTGAGGGGAGGGTTAACATCATTCTTCTTGAACCAGCTGTCCTCTCGTTCTCAAAACATTGGCAGAAGGTTTTGAGGATGTTCAAACTGGAAACCAGTGACAATTAAAAAAATGACAGTGTAAAAGAAACTTTCACTGAAAGAAGAGTGACGTGAAGAAAACTGACACAAAACACTGTAATGGAAAACACATCAGAATACCAAAAAATTTAAAACAAAATCAAATAATTTTTAAACCCTGCGTTTGATTTTTCAGTGGAACTTGTTTCACAAAATCAGATAGATTTCGAAACATAAATAATGATCAGGTCATTGAGTAATCAAAGAAGATACATGATAAGATTGAGGAGAAAGGAGCAAAATAAAAAAAATGATTTGTCAAAACAATTAGTGGCTAAAGGACATCAAAAGTAACTTCAAGAAACGGAATATGTTTGTAAATCCAAACACTGTTGTATCATTGTAATTTTTGACTGCATGTTCCTAGTGTGAGTGAGGGTGTTTCAGACTCACCAGATTCTCCTCACACAGCTCCCTGAACTGTTGAAACTTCTGGGACATCAGAAGCTGAGCACTTCCAACAGCACTCCTCATCTTCCCAAGGACTACAAGCATAGACACAGTGTTTAGGAAGAGACTAACTTACAGTACATCCATCTGGTCTTGAAAAATTGTAAAAAATACTGTTCTAAACACATTTATTTTCCTGCTTACCAAGGACACATCATCTCCATGTACTGGAGAACTATGCACTCTCTTGTTGCAACTCATGACAACACGACTGCTAGGCATCTGACAAAAAGCTTGTCATGAAATGTCACATTTAGCCATCAGGAGCCATTCTATGTGCCCAGGAATCTTTTGAGGTACCGAGGTACTTTATCTGAATATGGCTATACAGTAGGTTTTAATTCCTTTTCCACAAAAAAACCTGCTCCTGAAGATGAATTTTCTGATGGCTGGGACTATGTTGTTAGTCTTTGCAAAATATGTTCCTCCTTAATATATAATAAGTTCTTACTGTAGTTCTTATTACTCGTGTGCCATATTGACAGAGAAAGCAGAATTCACATGCTGCAAAATCTGTTTTTCTTCCGGCACCAGCGCCCTCATTTTTTAAAACAATTTATTTATTGATTTTCTGCTTTAACAAGACATGTAGTATAAAAGCATTACACAATAACCAACAACAAACAGCAACAATCAGCAGCAAACCAAAAGGACAGCAATAATCACATAAGGAGTCAAACATCACCTCTCCTTCCCTATAAATATGTATATACACACATACATATACATATATACATACTCATATAAAAATAAATCCTCTAAGATAGAATAGAAGAGATGCTAGGCGCACACACACATACACCCACCCACACACACAAGTGCATTTCACAGTAGTCTGAACCATTAGGATGTATCTGATGAAAGACAGTCCTCAAAACAACTACTTTAATCTTATTTTTGCTTGTATTGCAAACTAGCTGCGTTTCAAACAGCGAAAATGGTATCCAAAATATGCAGAGGATGTGATTTTACTGTTTTTTTTAAGAAAAGCAGCAGAGAGAGGACAAGGATTATGGCCCTGGTAGGGACCCTCTAGAACCTGAGCTGCCAAGAACACTTGCTGGTGCCTTTGCTCAAATTACCCTCTGATGCCAACAGACACAGAATTTCTGGGAACATCTGGGTGGGCGTAGGCATCAGACGCTCTGAGTCATCAAAGCAATGTATCCTGGTACATGTAGGAACTGCTGGCATGGTTATACAGATAGGAAAACTAAATTTTCTCTGTCAATATAGCACATACTGAGGAATTTCTTGTTTAATTGAATTGCACATCCAACATGAAAAGTGGCAAAATTTTCTTTTAATGCACTTTAAATCTCTATATCAGTGGTTCCCAACCTGGGGATCAGGACACCCACAAGAGGTCAAGAGATAGTTATTGGGATAGAAAATCAGAACTGACCAAATATTGGTACCTGTAGTTCTGTTCTTGATGTGACTTTTTTCTCTAATCTTTGTTTTGTTCTTGTTCTTGCTTGTACTGTATACTTTTATCTACTATCTTCAGGCCTCCAAAAAACACTTTTCACTTTAAGTGTTCAAAATACAGACATGCACAGGTAGACAAAGGTTGGGGACCAGTGCTCTATGTGTATAGCACATGTATGTAAGTATTTCACTTTTAACATTTTATCAGAATAGAAGTTGACTCCAATACAATGTGGGGGAGCACTTTATCTCAAAACACATGGGGCCAGATTTACTAAAGGTTTGCGTGAGTAAAAAATGGTGTGCATGCAGAATGACGTCTTTCAAAAGTGCAAGATAGCACCTGTCTACTGTTACTACTTTTGCCTCAATGAATATGCAGTTTGGGGACTTTTTAGTTTTATTGTGCAAAGTAGTGAGAGGGTAACATGCAAATACAATAAGTTACTACACGCAATGTGATCTAACAAGCCTACAAGCAATTTCATGTGAGTGCAACAGCATCTGTATTTAATACGTTTGAAAGGAAGGTGCAAATCGCCAAGTGTTGCGTTATCTTTGCGAGAAGGAGACACAGCCATAACTACAGATGACGCAGAGAAATTAACAATATTAGATAACATTATTCTATATCCAATATATAGAAATAAAATTATTTTATTTTATTTATTCAATGAACTATATGAATTGAATAGTGTTTTTTTTTTCCTTCAGCTTTGGCAATATTGCTGTATTAACATTCATGCCAATAAAGCAAATTTCTCCGTGAGATGGAAGAATTTAGAAAGTTGTGTGGCGCTGCGGAGAGCCCCCAGCTGCAGTAGTGCATGGATCACGCGTAAACTTCATCCAGCCAGAGGGAACGATCACCAACTGTTCACAGCGTGCCGGTGGTAATAGCAACACAAGCAGTTGTAGGTATCGTAGAGGGAATGGGGCGTTGGGGTGTACAGGACCAGGGACAGGAGATCGCAGATCGACCGGGCACAGTGGGTGATCATTCCCTCTGGCTGGATGAAACATGATTTGCTAGCATTTCGTCACGTCTGGGTCATTCCAGCATACTGTAGCTGTTTCTGCTGGGGTTTCCCAAAGCAGTTTTTCAGGAGTGCTGTCCCAAGTACTTGGTGTAATCTCAGGCAGGATGGGCAGGTACATACGATTTCCACATACTCGGGATGCACTGAATGAAACAAACCAAGGTTTTTACGCAGTGGCTGCTTTCCCTCCCAACTCTCCATGGCGGAAACCATTGAAACATGCAAACCCCTCATTTAAATACGGCCACCTCCTTTGTGTTTGCTCCTGTTGTCATCTACGCAATAATTCTTAGCTGATCACCGATAACAGGTACTACAATTGGTGGCTTGCAGTCACGTGATTGTGATGACGTGCAAAATTCAGATGGCGGGCAGGAAGTGAAGAGCGGAATGGACAAGATGGAGGAAAGTCTGTACTGTACCATTTTAGACGCTATTACAAGAGAAAGATATAAACAAAAAATCCAAACATATGTTGGATGTGATCCTTACGTTTTGAAGAGGAGCGATTTTTCAACTGAATTGAAAGATTTGCCTGCCATCGAGGCGATTGTTATCAGCAACTACCTTGTCCTGCAGACATCCTTCTACTGAAGACAACAAATGAAAGCATACAAAAGTATGGAGGTATTAAACTTTTTTGTAAGTGGTTGGGTCCACGATCTCAGTGCCAAGATGCTCCACAATGACTGTCGTTTGGTTTTCGCCCGAGTGAGTAACATTTCTTTTTTGTCCAGTGGCTTAAGATAAAGTTAATATGGCGGTTCATTAAAAATGTGCTAAAAAGATGTTTGACATGTAAAATCATAAATTCACAAATTCAATTATCTCTGCCCTGTTGCAGGTGCATAGTGCCCCTAAAGAAATTACAAAATCTGAACGTGAAATCAATGACTCACACTCACAAATTTAAGGACCTTACTCTTGAATTAGGATAGGAAAATAGGCCCATAAGATGTTGTTGTTTATGGATAAACATATACATAAACTGATATTTTCCTACTTCAATGCCTGCAGTCTTCATCAGAAATGTTGCTGAAACTTCATGTTAGCTGATTTATATAGTAACAGGTAGGGCGACCATGTCCACGTAAATCAGCTGACAGGAAGCTTCAGCAACTCATCTGATGAAGACTGCAGGCTTTGTAGTCATGTAAAAAACCTGCCTTGATTTCAGAATCAATGACATAGTCAGATAAAATCACTAATGTTGGTTGTTTACATGTTGTTTTCACTGTGAATGTTAGTGCCCACACTGCAAGGAAGATAAAGGTAATGTACTGTGCTGGAGACAAGGGATTCTGCCTCATCAAATATGGGGATGATGTTACACTGGACAGGAGCCATGCTTCCTACTTCCAAGTCCTAGCAAAGCTTCACATTGTGGATGCTGAGTATTGTGACTTTGTTGTGTGGAACCCTAAAGACATTTTTGTTGAAAGAATTGTACCTGATATGGACTTTGGGATGATGTGATTCCCAAAGCTGAGAATTTTTTCAGAAACTGTATCCTTCCAGAAGTGTTGGGACAGCAAGTTACGAAATAACATTTTGACATGTTATTTGACTAAAGGGCTACTGCCCACTGCTCACACAGCTCAGGCCCTTCAGTTAGTCATTTTGCCAATGAAAAACACTGATTAAAATGTATATTTTTTGACAATCGGATGTTTATTGAGAAGATTATATGAAAAGATAAAATTATACAATGAAAGGTATTACGGTGTATTATTTACAAGACCTAAAACAGTGTACACTTTGTAAATTCTATTAAATTTAATTTAAAAAAAAACAAAGCTGCATCTAATCTGGTAGTTATTTCTACATGGGAATCTTTGCAGGACTCCACAGTACTTTTAGATTGGATTGAACTCCTAGGTTACACAGAAAAATTCACTAAAAACACAATGTATTGTTATGCTGCTATCCTGTTAGTATACCAACATTTAATATATAATTTATCATTAACATCCAAAGTTTTCATTTTAACAGTTGTCAGTTTATTTATATCGTAGGAAATAATGCCAAACGCTCAGCTGAGCATGTTTTGTTACACAGAAAATGTCATATCATTGCTAATGATCAGAAGTTTACTTCATAGTTTGTCAATTATTGCATTAGTGTGCTCTACTACTGGCTTTGTTCCTTTTTACACTGAAATGACAAATTAAGCACTTGTTAAAGTATTACTTTTACCAACAATGACCCGTTGATATGCCATGTTCAGGTAGTTTTTGTAATTTTTTACTCCAGTGGGACCACAGACTGAAAAATTTACCAAGGCACAGCAAATAACTCCAAACCTATCAATCAATGTCAGTGACTTGCCTGGTTTTGTTGCCATGTGTTTGATGGGCATGGCCCTACTTTTTGCAAAATCTGATTTTCCTTCTAACCAATCCAATAACTCTTTCCACATGAATACGCACATTAGCTATTTGTTTCTTCCACCTTGTATGCTGACAGCTGTCTTTTCCCCTTTGTGAATGCAGGTATCTGCAGTGAAGCAAAGTAGAATCCTACACTATCCCCAATGTTAAACCCACGGTCTCCTAGAACAATTTCTCCAGGTAAAAGGTTTTTTAGGAGGTCACTCTCTTCAGTAATCTTCTTATCACTAACTCTTCCTCCCCAGCCAGGAGATATGTAAGAGACATACCCTTGGGGATCAACACCGATCAGAAACTTCCCAGTGTGGTGATGTTTATAGTTTGACCAGGTTTGTGCTCTAGCAAGAAAATTAGAAGGTTGTTCAATAAATACTTCAAAGCAGTAACTCTACATCCAAATTCTTGCTGGAATGCCATTGGTATTATGGCTTAAAGTACATTTCACTCTGGCCACTCAATTAAAAACTGTGGAGCAAGAGACATTGAACCTGAAAGCCAAATCTTTCAGAGGAAGGTTTAGTCTCAACCTCAGCAAAACTAAAATGACCTGTTCAAATTTAGAAAGCACAGACAAATGGCCCAAACAGACAAAAGGCTCACACAGCTGAAAAACCTGCATTAAAACTAAGACATTGGGGAGTCCAGTGTAAAACTTTGTCTTGTCTTCATTCTTCTGAAAAGACTCTTGGCTAAACTGTGTGTCCAGTGCTTTAGTCCTGAGATCACCCAGCTCTGTTGTGGTTTGCTTCAGAACATCTTCCATCCTCGCAATGTCATCCATGGTTAGGTCCGTCTAGCATCCTGCATCTGCATACAATGTATAGCAGTAGGGAGAGGGAATATTTATTCACATTACTCTCCAAATCATTAATGATGTGAATTGTTTAGTTGCTTAGTTGTCCACATACTTATAAAGGGCCAAAGTTATTTGCATTCATATGTTTATACAGATGTTTAACCAGGGTAGTTCATAGAGAATTTAGTAATCTATTGTGCAAGCCTAATTGAAGGTTTACATGCATTATTTGTTGTCAGAATCACATCTGCCTTATACAACTGGAATACTGGCAACATGTATTAATACAATTACTTCACCTTGTCAATCATGTAACATCTCTGTGTTGTCCTCTGTCTCATGGAGATCCAGCAAGGCCTCTGCACCTTCTGCGTGTCTATGTTGATCGTACCTGGTCGTTCCCTTTCTGATAACCAAGGTTAACTGTAGGAGCCCAGTCTACAGACTCAACATCGTTTAAAGAACTAGGGCAGCCTAAAGAGAACATCCATCCATCCATCCATCGTCAACCACTTATCCTGCGTACAGGGTCGCTGGCTAAAGAGAACAACATTAATTAAATGCTTGTGGCAATAAGGCTGCACCCTCAAAACACTTTGTAGTTGGCTTTGCTAACGTTACGTGTTTGTCTTTAGTTACAGGGATAACATAAAAACTCAGAGAAAATAAGAAACAATTACTTTGACTTTACAAAGTTCGGAAACTGGCACGTTACACAATCAGAGCCACATAAATTGTATTAACTCACCTTTGATAAAGTGATCACTGCACACATGAGCATTTTCCGATTCGGCTCCTCCCGACCACAGACGTAGGTTTGCAAGCCATTTTTTTCCGGCATTTTTCAGTCAATTTCTTGCATTTTTCCCCTTATGAACAACAACTTTTGGTACACGATAAAAGCTCCTCGTGGTTTCTCGGTTTCATCAATTTGAGCAACCATAAACAACGCGTAGGCATTTTGAGTTTGTTAAAGTGCTTCCTAAATGTAGCAAATCACTTCCTGCCCTCCATAGCAACGCAGTGACATGACATCATATGCAAACAAACTATTGCAAGTGCAATATTTTAGACTGCACACGCAATTTAGTACTCTTTATTGGAGATGTTAGTAAATCCGGCCCATGGCATACTAATACGACTAATAACGTTTTGAGCATAAATGAAATTATGCTTTTCCAACATAGTTTCATACATACATTATGAACACACGCACACATAGACATACTATCTTCAGGCAGGTCATTCTCCCGCTGGTCGAGCTCCATCTGTTGACACCAGCCCTCCATGCGGTCGGTCTCTGCCTGTAGCAGCTTCAGAAACCAGCGTCCATCTCTCTGACACACTGACCGCTGCACCACCTGCCATTCAAACATTCAGACTGTCATAAAGCTCATCATGACAATACAAGATATAAGAGTGAAAATTGTTACCTTTCCTTTATTATATTTATTTTTACATTCACAAGATAAAATTCCTGGAAGGGCTGATCAATTAAGTATCATAAAATATAATTTTAAAAGAATATACATTCATAATACTTTTATTATAGTATATACTTAGTTAGTTTATCTATGTATACATTTTTGCTGACCATTTTCAAATGCACCATATAAAGTCTTAAATGTTTGGATATGTTTTTCTACTGTTTCCGGCATGCATTCCCTCTTTATTTCTGTCATAGTACAGCGCTCTTTTTATGACATGTTAATGACCGTATTATATTATTATTATTATTATATTATTGCCGTAAATACCTTAATATGACTCTGCAGTATGAAATTCTTCTTTGCACCCTTTATAGACATTTTTAAGAATAAAACAGGCTGGAACATGTAGCCTTATATAACAATTTGTGGGTAGTAATTATGCAAATGCACAAATCTGATAAATGCTTACCTGCTCATTTAACATTCATGATGTTGAAACAAGCAAGGTATGACAAGTTTGTGCAGCTAAGCAAGTTTGCTGAGTCTGACTGAGGACGTGCAAACCTCACAGTAGAGGTGTTTAGGATAAGAAAACACACCATTTCTTACATGAGGTCCAAAAAGCAGTATATATGAACATAACTAATGGGTTCCAGGAGCAGTAGAGAAAGTACATTTAAATTTCTAAAACACATATGTGATGTAAAGTGTATGTGATTTTGAATATGTAACATCAATGCCACTGGTAGGTCATTTTATTTAATGACTGAATATCACAAAGAGTACGGTCTAGACCTGCTTATTATGAAAAGTGCAATGAGAGACTTTTGATATGAATTGGCGCTATATAAATACAATTTAATTTAATTGAATGATTCCCAAATTAAATCACATATCAATATAATTTTGTTATCTTGTCATGGTAGTCATTAATTTTTTGTGGTTACCTCAGTTTCTTCTATACGTTACAAAATATCTTTATAAATGTAAAAGGGAACTCAATTACATCAGTAATATTTAAATGTTTCTGCATTTTACAATAATTTCTATAAATGCGACACAGATAAAAACCCACTGTTGGTACACATATTATAGAACATTAATAAAAGTGTTGTGAAAGACATTGTACAACAATAAATTACTGAAACATTTGGACCAACCAGAGCTGCTGATCCCTGTGCTAAGAAGTGGTCTTAAAATTGGGTCAACTGCTTTCTAACAAGCATAGGTGCAAATAAAAAGTACACACAGCAGAAGCAATTCATTAACATAGAGTGGAAGCTCTGTTGAAATAGTTTAATCACTGTTAAGCTGATGATACACGGGACTAACTGAACTTTTTAAGCAATGTTGCCAGGCAATCTTGCTGGAGGCAAGTCCCACTATGTTTTGAACAGATAGCGGCGGGGCGGGGCAAGTGGCGGAATGGTGGGAGAAGGAGATTACGGTAGTAATCTTTACTTATTAACATTGACGGGAACATTGCCCAGCACCATTGCTCTAAAAGTTGTTCCGTGTATCATCAGCTTTAGAGAGCAGAGATAAGATACTTGAATCTGAAAGTGAGACGCGTAAAGATTGTGGTTTTTATTCATTAATCTATCTTTGACCTTCTTGATTATTTGATTAGTCATTTAGAGTAAATATTGCCCTATTATAATATAATAAGTGACTAACAAAACTTGGAGTGATATCTTACACACAGAGATGTTAATTTGATGCTTTTTATGATTCTTTATGTTTTTATTACTTGACATCATTTAGCTCTTTCTGAGCTGATATAGAATACATAATACTAAACTATGGAATCATATACATACTGACCCACACAGATCATTCAGTAGTTCAACTGAAGTGACTAAGTATAAATAATTCAAACTGTAAATAATTATTAAAATATGTTTAACTTTATACTAACATGTAATCATGACTTATTATAAAATTAGTAGAGAAAATAGTAAGGCCATTGTTTTGTAATTGATCTCTTTATTTCCTGTGTTTTAAAAAAAAAAAAGTACATAGATCCAAATAAAAGGGTCAGACTTTTCAAATTTCATCAAGTTAGTGTTGAGACTTTTAAAGCCACAAAATAAATAAATAAATAGTTGCTTAATTACACATTGAGCAAATACAGAAAAACAGTAACTATATATTTTGTGTCATGCGTCAGGACACTTGATGAATGTAAGTCCAACATTCACTTTCCTTTTAGCTCTGGCTCAGTCTCCATCAACTCTCGAGAAATGTCTATCTGGCTCTTTAGCTGCTAATGTTCCATTATGTTCACCAGCTACTCTTTACATCTGACAGATTGTGGTGCTGGGTAGGTAGTGTACAGTGGGTTTATCAGAGCTTTTTCACATTACCCATATTGCTTCTTCCATTTTTAATATAACAGTATTAATTAGTGCAGATTTAAAATCAGCGTGGCATTATGAAAGGATATTAAAATAGTAACTGACTGGAATTAATTAGTGAGTAAGAACAGCATTTGTAGTTACTGTTTTTACCTCTAAAATAGTAGAGCTGTTGAAGCTGACATCAAGTGGGTCATCTGTTACACTGTCTATCCAGGGGTCTGGAGGGGGGAGGATGGATGGGTCAAAGCCCACATCCTCAAAGTCATCGGAGGCACAGGCATGGTAGTGGTTCCCTGAGCCCTGGATGCTGACGGTGGAGGTGGTGGCATCACGGGAGTATTGCCGAGAAATGGCACCAGATGGCAGGACTTCCGTGTCAGTGTCTGGGTAGTCAAGAGGGGTGTCCAGCAAGTCTGGCATGTCTAGATCTGCCTGGATGGAATAATGAGAAAATCTTAATAGTGAGTCAATGAACAAATGGTTGTTTGAGTGGTTCAGATCTGATAATTCTATGTCTGAATAATAGAAGTGGTCAGACATGGAATTTTGCTTCCAAATTATATTGTTGTTTTGGGTAGGACTCCATTGTATTGCCGTGGTCTGTGTGTCAATGTGTTTAATACTCACTATACACTATACTTTAATAATACATAGCTAATACTAAATTAGCATTTCTGATCATGTGGTGTGTCATAATCATCACAGGAGATATATCATTCCAACCTTGATGTACCTCAGGGCTCTATTCAAGGAACATATTTTTTGCCCATAAAAGCAGATGATCACGTTGATATTATACAGTTAGAGACTTGCTAGGCTACTGTGACAAACTGAATGTCATATGAATTCCTACTTCGAATTCAGAAAAAAATGCAGATGCTGGTCATTGGCCCCATAGACATCAGTTAGATCAGTAAGTCAACAACTGCGTAATCTCTCAAAATTGTACATCCAAGAATTTTGGTTGTACTTTTGAACCTGCCCTCTCTTTGATCTGCATGTTAGAGAAACTACAAAGAATACTTTTTTCCACCAACTGAATAGTGTAAGTAATTAATTTTTAGTAATTAATTAACTTTGACCATGGCTGATATAAATCGTGATCTAATAACTACATCAATTAGTTTTTGGTGGAATTTTTCATGAAATAAAAAACTGAATTAAAAACGTTACTATTAATAGTTAGCTCACAGGGAATGGCTACGCACACACCTCTTTCCCTCTCCCGCCCTCTCTCTCCCCTCCCTCTCTCTCAGGCCACCTGCGCTGTACTTACAAATCCTCTTTTTGTCCATGTTATCTGTTTATGAGGCCATCACAGGGTGCGATTTGTGAGAAAACAGAAGGGGGTTTGAGAAAAGGTTTTACTACCACTGTTACTTAATAAATTAATAAATATATAACATTACTTTGAAATGCAGAGTTGCAGTAAATAGACAGAGAAGACAGATGCATGCTCTGTTTAAGTGCAGTATTTAAGAGGAGAGTGACTGATTTAAAAGCTGTCACTTTCAAGAGTGTCATTGAGTGAAACCCAGCAGCTGTGACTTCAGGCGTATTCACACTGGTGTAACAGGCACACTGCGCTACTTGTCATCATAGAAACAGATCTTCAGATTTTGATGTTAATTGCACCTTCAGTAATATCGGCTGCCTTCTCTTCAGCACACAGGTCCGCTGCTCACTGGAACAAGGTTTTGATAAACTATTATTTGCAGCGTGTAACCAATCAGATAAATAAATAAATAAATAAATAAGTAAATAAATAAATAAGTTTAAAAAAATATAATATTTTTTTTTTAACTATTTATATATATATATTTCACCACGCCAATGTTAGATTTTATAGTGGTTTATTATGATGAATAGTTATGAAAGGAGGGGTCAAGAGGGGAGGGGGATGAAGGGGTTGACAGAAGAGGGATGAAGGGGTTGAGGATGGAGGGATGAAGGAGTCGAGGATGGAGGGACGAAGGGGTCGAGAGAAGAGGGATGAAGGGGTCAAGGAGGTTGTTTAAGGTTTGGTGGCCGTAGCAGCTAGGAACCCGAGGGGTCGAGATTCAGGGTGGGGGCTTGTCTCGATAAGCAGCTTGGTCTTATGAACCCCCCTGTGGTTCCTGTTGTAGAAGAAGACGAAATAATTACTAGGCAGAATTATGGATTTTAGCGTGCATGTCTTTCATGGTGGGAGGAAGCCGGGGCCTGGGCTGAGCGAGGTCTAAACTCAGAACCTTCTGCTGCGAGGCTGCAGTGCTGATCTAATAACTACATCAATTGGGCCACCATGCTGCCCATTAAAAGAGGTGAACAAGCAGGGTTTGGGTGGGAGGGATGTGAGAACCAAGAAACGGGAGAGAAAACGGGTTAGACAGCTTATATACGTGAGTGCATGTGACTGGATTTGAGAAGCACAGGTGGATGGAATGAGTGAAGTACAGGTGGTTGAATGGAGGAATTGAATGAAGCGCAGGTGATAGAATAAGTAAGAGAGGCGTGGTCCTGCACTTGAGTATGTATCCTCCTGGCATGTGTCATCCTCAAGCTCGGGTCCTCTACCAGAGGCCTGGGAGTTTGAGGGTTCTGCGCAGTATCTTAGCTGTTCCTAGGACTGCACTCTTCTGGACAGAGACCTCTGATGTTTTACCTGGAGTCTGCTGTAGCCACTCTCCCAGTTTGGGTGTCACAGCCCCCAGTGCTCCGATTACCACTGGCACCACTGTTGCTCTTACTTTCCACATCTTTTCTAGCTCCTCTTTCAGCCCTTGGTAATTCTCAAGCTTCTCGTGTTCCTTCTTCTTGATGTTGCTGTCGCTTGGGATTGCCACATCTATCACTGCAGCCTTCTTCTGCTGTTTGTTGATCAACACGATGTCTGGTTGGTTAGTCATCAATAGTTTGTCAGTCTGGATCTTGAAGTCCCACAGGATCTTCGCTTGGTCATTCTCAAATACCTTAGGAGGTGTCTTCCATTTTGACCTTGGGACTTCCAGCCCATACTCATGGCAGATGTTCCTGTACACTATGCCAGATACCTGGTTATGGCATTTCATGTACGCACTTCTTACCTGCATCTTACACCCCGCTGTTATGTGCTGTACTGTCTCAGGGGCTTCCTTGCGCAGTCTGCACCTGGGGTCCTGCCTGGTGTGGTAGACCCCAGCCTCTATTGATCTTGTACTGAGTGTCTGTTCTTGTGCTGCCATGATTAAAGGCTGGACTAAAGGACAGCACTGAAGATATATATATATCTTTTTATCCAAAGCGACTTACAATTGCTATATATGTCAGAGGCCGCATGCCTCTGGAGAAACTAGTTAAGTGTCTTGCTCAGGGACACATTGGTGGATGTGTCACAGTGGGGATTGAACCTGGGTCTCTCACACCAACAGCATGTGTCTTATCCACTGCACCCACCCATCAGCACCACACAATTTCATTTATTTGAAAAAAATGTTTTGAGATATTTTGTTAATTGTTAAATTGTTAGGGGCGGCTGTGGCTCAGGAGGTAGAGCAGGTTGGTTGTTAATCAGAAGGTCGGCGGTTCAATCCCTAGCTCCCCCTGGTTGCGTGTCGAAGTGCAAGATACTGAACCCCGATTTGCCCCGGTGGCTGTTCCTCCAGTGTATGAATGAGTGTGAATGTTAGTTTCCGTTTGAGCACTTAAGCTCAGTGTATGAATGCAGATGTAAAAGAGCATTTACATTTAAACATTGACCAGACAGGAAAAAAACAAATGTGCCTTGGAAGACTTAAGGAGATGAGGTACTCGAAAACACAGTAATAGTGGAAGCTTACCTGTACAGCAGTTGTCACACTGTTGGAGCGCTGAAAACGACGGTACCTGAGAGGGAGACAAACAGTAAATACCAAAGACCCAGATTTTTCCCCTCTCTGCTCACAGGCAACAATTTCAAGATTCAAGGATTTATTTGTCACATACTCATATTTATCATCTACGGTTATGATAACACTGATCTTCATAAACACGTAAATTAAATTGCACATCAGAACATGAAAACTTGGGTGCCTTCCTGGAGCCAGACTTGGGAGGGGAGCTCGGCAGGCCTTGGGGCACAGTCTGAAAGAACTACATGGTGGTAACCACCCACAGGGATAAGCATTAAGGTTGGGCACATTGTCAGTTGGGTGACTGGCAAAGGCAGGGATCAAGCTGCACCAGCTGACCACTGGTGTCGTAGTATGGTTGTAGGGATGTGGAACATCATTCTTCTGGCGAGGAAGGAACCACAGCTAGTGTGGGAGGTGGTACTAGATATCGTGGGTGGCTCAACTATATGCACAGCACTGGGTCTGGAACCAAACTCCTGGAGAGAGGCCGGACACACACAATTTCTGGAATTGCTCATGGTGAGAGATACCTAGGATTTTTCACACATACTGTAAAGGAATTATTTTTATTGTGAGCATTTAAACCTTGAACATTAGCACATTAAAACACTGCTGTTGACTCACATATGAATAAAGAGGGGTTCAACCAACCATTGTTCACTTCATTAGGTAAACCTGGTTGAAATCTATGCAGCCATCAACCCCTGCTGAAATGGTTCCATAGAGGTATTGATTCACCCCTACGGCCATCCTGGAGGCTGTGGCGGCGTTATAGTGAAAGGTTAATATTCAGTCTACCCTCATTGATATAAATTCGCTGGACAAAACACCTCTTTAAACAGTTTCACAAACCAAAACTAAACATTGCAACTTTTATGAAGGTTGGACCTACTGCAGGGCTGCTGGACCAGACATCAACCCCAGCTAGGTGTATCCAACAAACTACATTTAAGGTAAATAGTACTTGGTTTTAAAGGAATGTAGCTTGGAAAATCAGTACAGTACGTCTACAAGATGACTATTGTAGAGAAGCTTGAACACACAGGGGTCTGAAGAAAACTGCAGTGAGTCTATAAGTCAGGGAAGCTGGCCACAGTTATTAGGGTTTATAGTAAAAAAATAACCTTGCCAGATTAGTGTGTGGGTGTTGACCAGTAAGAAATAATTACTCAGCTGCAGGAAATGACTTAGATGTACATAAAAGAACATATGCATGTACCTTGGCTGCCACAATTTGTACACCGTTTTACTTTTCTCCAGTCTCTACTGAGAGTAAGCTTACGTTATCGCCAAAGAAATTTTTTTTATTTAACCTTTTTTTAACCAGGGGAGATTTTTATCTCAAGACCCATTGAGATAAAATCTCCATTTCAAGGGCACCCTAGCCAAGAAAGGCATCAGGAAAGCAAATCTGACAGTACCGACATGGAATGACAACAATACAATCAAAGTATCTACCATTTATCATATAACCATATGCAACATCAACGGCACATTATAAAAACTAGTACATTAAGATGTCTCCATGCAATAAAAATACACTAATGGAAAAAACAAACTTCATTTACTTTGTGATAAATCCGTAAATGGTTCGTTCTTTCATTATATCGTTTCAAAACCAAATCGGAAAAACCAAAAAAACCATGTCATCAAGCTATTTATTATGGCCCGAGCACGCTCGTGCGAGGTCTCTATTGAATTTGTAAAGATTAATCCCTAGAAGGAGTTCGTTAAAGTACGGAGTGTGTAAATCATCCAAAAATGGCTGTAAAATTCAAAATGGCCGACTTCCTGTTGGGTTTAGGCTATGGCTCCAAGAGACTTTTTTGTGCGTCTGGACAAGATACACGCACCACAGAAAATTCGTGCATGTAGGTGAAACGTGCGGCGGGGGCTGCTTAGTTAAAGGTCACTTCCTGTTGCCAGCAGGTGGCGCTATGACTGTGGGTGAATGTCGGCATGTACATGTGTTCAGGGCGGGACTCTCATCCTACATGTACACTTTGGTCCAGATGTGAGCATGTACCTTCTAAAGGCATTGAAGATGAAAAGTTGTGCTATTTGCGAGTTTTCGTCAATGGCCGTGTCCGTGGCGTGGCGTCAAAGATCAACTCTTCGCCATGAAACAGGAAGTTGTTGTAACTTCAGTGTATATGCTCACATCTGCACCAAACTGTACATGTAGGATGAGAGTCCCACCCTGAACACATGTACATGCTGACATTCACCCACAGTCATAGCGCCACCTGTTGGCAACAGGAAGTGACTTTTAACGAAGCAGCCCCCGCCGCATGTTTCACCTACGTGCACAAATTTTCTGTGGTATGTGTATCTTGTCCAGACACACAAAAAAGCCTCTTGGAGCGATGCCCTAAAACCAACAGGAAGTCGGCCATTTTGAATTTTACGTCAAATTTTGGATGATTTACACACTTCGTACTTTAACGAACTCCTCCTAGGGATTTAGTCCGACCGACTTCAAATTTGTGCTGTGCCTTCTAAAGGCATTGAAGATGAAAAGTTGTGCTATTTGCGAGTTTTCGTCAATGGGTGTGTCCGTGGCGTGGCGTCAAAAATCAACTCTTCGCCACGACACAGGAAGTTGTTGTAACTTCAGTGTACATGCTCACATCTGAACCAAACTTTACGTGCTTGATAACTGTCCCACCCCGAAGACATCTACACGCCAATACCGATTTATATTCACAGCGGCAAGTGCTATGTAGCTCCACACAGGGGACACAGGAAGTAACATATAGCACCTTCATGCGGTGTCGGAACCGCGTAGCAAATTCACAGCCGCACCGGCAGAGCTCCAGAATATGCAACTCGGCCGGCTCACACCCGGACGCGCTACAAGTGCGAGGGCCCGCCCAACGCTGCTTGCAGCTTTAAATATATATATATATTTTTTTTTTTTTTCTGCAAAGTAAGCTCCATTGTCAGGGCCTAAACATACTCCAGAACTCACCAAACTTTGCAAACATGTCAGAACTGGTGAAAAATTTTGTATTTTATGGGCTTCGCGCATGGGCGTGGCAAAATGACTCGCTAGTGCCACCTAGAACATTGGAAAAGATTATCCCCTCGTTCACATTCAACCTACATGTACGAAATTTTCTGGGGACATGTATCATATCAAGACGCACAAAAAAGCCTCAAGAACCCATACCCTAAATACCATGCTTGCAGCTTTAATTTTATTTTATAGCCTATAGGGTAAGGCTATTTCTTTTCAAGTCTCATCTCATATCAACTATGGCGAATATAATTGTAGAAGTGAGCACTATAGGCCTATTGTAGCCACATACGAAAAAGAAATATGAGAACATACTTGTTTTGCAAGATCGTAGGAGCCATTCAAGCACTCAAAATTCTCCAATTTCTAGATTAAGTATGTCAACATCAAGGAAGCATTTTGTTTTGGACTGATCTGAAGCAGCTGGTTACGTGAGCGATCTAAGAAAATACCCAAATATGCTTATCAAGGGTTTTGCCTTGAGGCTACGGTCAGGGTGCAAACTATGGGGGAGCCAGGGGGAGTTTTACTCCTCTTAATAACACGAGGTCCCCTGAAAACATGATTTGTAATATTTTGGGGGGGTCTCTAAAATATCGACAATATACTACTTTTGCCATTCATTTCTATTTTTCTTTAGCCTATCATCATGGATCATGCAAATCAGTAGCGCTAGGCTTCATCCAGCCAGAGGGATCACCGATCGTCTGCAGCGCACCAGGTGGCTTTCACAACCTCCTCTCTCTCGCCATGGAAGCACCAGCGCCCGCTCCCTCTCCGGCGGTAGACCTATGAGTTGTGTTGCCAGTGGAACCAGCGCACTAGATGGTCAGTGGTCGTTCCCTCTGGCTGGATGAAATCTTGTCCTGAATACAGACTTCACTCGCTGGACGAGCGATTCTGTTTTCTCCTTTTTTAACCCCTGTTCATTTTCTTGGTGTTACCAGCACAATTTTGGATCCCTAAAGAAACTGTTACAGAAGATAACGTTTCCTTCCTGCAGACGAAGACAGATACAGGTGAAACTCGAAAAATTATCATATCGTGCAAAAGTTCATTTATTTCAGTAATTCAACTTAAAAGGTGAAACTAATATATTATATAGACTCATTACATACAAAGTGATATATTTCAAGCCTTTATTTGATATAATTTTGATGATTATTGCGTACAGCTTATGAAAACCCCAAATTCAAAATCTCAGAAAATTAGAATATTACATGAAATCAATAAAAAAATATTTTTGGTTTGGGCCCCTTTTGCATGAATTACAATGCGGCCTGGCATGGATGCTATCAGCCTGTGGCACTGCTGAGGCGTGATGGAAGACCAGGATGCTTCAATAGTGGCCTTCAGCTCTTCTGCATTGTTCGGTCTCATGTCTTTCATCTTTCTCTTGGCAATGCCCCATTCAGGTCAGGCGAGTTTGCTGGCCAATCAAGCACAGTAATCCCATGGTCATTGAACCAGGTTTTGGTACTTTTGGCAGTGTGGGCAGGTGCCAAGTCCTGCTGGAAAATGAAGTCAGCATCTCCATAAAGCTCGTCTGCTGAAGGAAGCATAAAGTGCTCTAAAATGTCCTGGTAGACGGCTGCACTGACTCTGGACTTAATAAAGCACAGTGGACCAACACCAGCAGATGACATAGCTCCCCAAACCAACACAGACTGTGGAAACTTCACACTGGACTTCAAGCATCTTGGATTGTGTACCTCTCCATTCTTCCTCCAGACTCTGGGACCTTGGTTTCCAAATGAGATGCAAAATTTTCTCTCATCAGAAAAGAGGACTTTGGACCACTGAGAAACAAACCAGTTCTTTTTTTTCCTTTAGCCCGGATAAGACGCTTCTGACGTTGTTTGTTGTTCAGGAGCGGCTTGACAAGAGGAGTACGACATTTGAAGCCCGTGTCCAGGACCCGTCTGTGTGTGGTGGCTCTTGATGCAGTAACTCCAGCCTCAGTCCACTCCTTG